GTGTGTGTGTGTGTGTGTGTGTGTGTGCGCGCGCGCATGTTTGCGTGTGCGTGTGGGTGTGTGGGTGTGTGTGTGTGTGTGTGTACGTGGTGAAACACCAAACCAATGTGCCAGGCTCTGGACAATAAAGATGTATCTTATCTTATCTCATAACATTCTATCTCCTCAGTATCAAGTTTTGACAAATTTGGCGTCATAATTTTTTTCCGTTTCGCAATATGTCAGCTTTTTCGAACGCTATTCCTTGAATACCTTAATAACGCCTCCGAATAATCTTACGATTCTGATAGGGCAGATAGAATTTGGTTTCTGACCTCATGGTCTTTGTAACTAAAAACGGCCAACATTATCAGATTGAACTTTATAATTCCGAGACAGAGAAGGGGTGTCCGACTTGGACAAATAATAGCTATCCCGAAAAATTCTGTTTTGAGAACATTGAAGGTAAAGTTTTTGACCCCTTGTTCAGTTTCAATAAAATACAAGGAGAGTTTTCTCTATAACCCATCAGATATACACACCAACGAAACCAAACTTCTCCTATAGGTAGGGCAATGTCCACTTTTGGTGTAGGTCAAGATTTCTGGCGGAAACCCCTGACATCTGGGTTAGCCTGATTGTCATTAAAAGCGACCATATTTGCCCGTACTTTCATTTTAACACAACACGTTGATTAACTCACCGCTTTCCTTGACCCTTCTCCAACACAGTGTCTAGGTATGGCTCTTGCTCTCACTCACGCCCTGGACTTGACCAGAGCACTAGCTGGTCAAGATGACCACCGCCGCCTCCACCCGGTGTTTGATGACGCAGTTCTGGCTCCGGTTCTGTGGATACTCACACTAGTAAGTCAACTCTCTCCCCCACACACTCACACAGAACGTTGTGTGGGTGGTTGGCGGACGCCCTGGTGTGGTTTGCTCCTTCTTTCCTATCAAACATGCTTATCGTCTTTATCTCCCTTTCTTCTTATTTGAGTTTGTTACTCTTTTATAACACCTCTAATCTCCGGCACTTATATGTCCTTATTGTGTTGTAAGTGCCGTAAAACTCTTACTAAAACTAAAACAGAACTTTGTTCTGCGCTGAGTTATTTTATACGTTTTTGTACTATCACCCCCGCCCCCCTCCCCCCGGACACGTATAAAGAACACATACACACACACATATACACACACGCGTGCGCGCAGGCACGAACGCGCACACGCATACGCACCCACATGCATGCACACG